ACAGGTCAAAAAATTTTGATTTGCACAAGCAATTTTACACTCAGGGTTCTTGTGATACTTTCCTTTATATCATTCCAAGGAAGATGTGGGATCTTAAATTCGTATACTGACATCCAGTTGTGAGTCTACATATTATATCAGTCATTCTTGTAAACAATCAAAACTCGTCTCAGGTGTTTTAAAATAGCACACATAGGATTTAGATTCCTGGTAAGCAAAGCCAAGTCAATGAAGTCAGCCTGGTATAAAGTTATAGTCTTTTGTCCTTACTCAAGCATCCTCATTATCCATAACCATGTGTATTTCTGAGATCTTGTCATTACTAATTATCTGAATCATGCAGTTACTTTGAAGTATAAATATTTTATTTGATATTAAATATTAGATTTGACCTTACAATTGTTCCCTATTCTGAATGCATTACAACAACTCCTTCAAGTAATAGATGGGGAAGATGAAGGGGAAAAGAGTGGAACATGGGGAAAGTATGTATTAACTGTGACTCCCCTGGGGATCCCTGGGTGGCTCAGTGGTTTTGTGCCTGCCTTTGGCCCAGGGTGTGATCTTGGAGTCCTGGGATCAAGTTCCCACATCAGGTTCCGTGCATGGACCCTGCTTTTCCCTCTGCCTGTGTCTCTGCCTTTTCTCTCTGTGTCTCTCATGAATAAATAAAATCTTTAAAAACAAAAAAACTGTGATCCCCATTTTCAGGAATCTGCTACTGTAAATATTATCTGAATAATTAAATCTAGTTTTGGTCTTTCTCATTGGGTATTTGTTAGTACAAATCTGATCATGATACTACTCTGCTAAAATCTTTCAGCATCTTCTTTTGAACATGCTCACCCGAGTTTTGCACAATCTAGACCAAGGTATACAGACCAGGTAGTTAAGAGAAGGCAGCGATGTGTGGGCTGTGTGTTGGGGTAGATAATATCCTGATTTACGGGTTATCTCTTACAAATTGAGAACCTGATTGAAGAAATAAGTGTACTTTCTTGTCTTATTCAGTTGGAGATGTTATGATAAACACCATAGGCTGGGTGGCTTAAATAACAGATGTTAGTGAGGCTCTAACAGAATGCCTGGAGGCCAGCAAGGAGGAGGCCATGGCCAGCCATGGGGAAGGTCCAGGCCTGTCCTGGCAGTACTCTATGAGGAGCCAGATCACACCAGACAGACCCCAGACGGTAGTGCCATGACAGGAAACCCTGGTCAAATAAGGAAGAAAAAGCCCAAAATCCTGCTTCCCTTTTCTTTCTTTTAAGATTTTATTTGTTCATGAGAGACAGAGGCAGGCAGAGGGAGAAGCAGGCTTCATGCAGGGAGCCCAACGTGGGACTCGACCCCAGGTCTCCAGGATCAGGCCCTGGACTGAAGGTGGCATTAAACCGTTGATCCACCCGAGGTGCCCCCTGCTTCTTTTTTCAATTGCCCCAGAGGTAACAATTGTCAAAAAAAGATAGAAACCCAACCCCTGGGGCACACAGCTCTCTCTCCCTTGAGCTGCCTGCTCTTATATCTTGAGATTGTACTTTTTGCTTTGATAAATTTTCCAGCTTGGGTCACTTGTCAGCTGTGCTGCAAGTCTGGGTGTGGCTGGGACGAGGCCCCAGGGCCCAGGATTTCCTCTCCCTTTCCCACTGCTTACCCAGCAACAGTTATTTCTCACAGCTCTGGAGCCTAAGAAGTAGAAGACCAATGTGCCAGCAGACAGTCTGCTCAGGACCTGTTTCCTAGCTTGCAGGTATCATCAACTCATTGTGTGTCATATGATTTTTTTGGTGGGCTGGGGGCAGGGAGGTGTTCTGGTCTCTTCCTCTTATAAGAGCACTAATCTCAAATCTCCTCCTGGGGATTCCACCCTTATAAACTCTTGTTAAAACTGGATTCTTTCCCAGTAGTGGCTAAGTGAACTGAGTTGCTGGCTCTGGAGGAAGGAAAGTAGGCCAGTGGAAGATCCTCCTTAAAATTTTTTTATATCACCTTCCATTTGCAATGATGGCAGCATCTAAGACTCTTACAGGAGTATATAAAGTTAGTAAAGATTTTCAGAAAGTCTGTCGGTTGTCTCATTTCTCTAAAAAGAAAACACATCCCTTTTGAATTCCCCAGTGAAAGTAAAGAAGTTAGTACTAGCGATATATGCTAAAAAGTTTTACAAATACTGTCAGACATAATTTTGATATTTCTATTCATGTTAATGTATGTCAGAGATAAAAATGCGGTGCCCAGAGCCCCGCACTTGCCCCCTGCAGCCCTCCAGGAAAGACCTGCATCCCAGCTGCAGAGTGGGTGTGGTCAGAATCTGGGCACTGCTGAGCTCCCTGGGCCTTGCCTGAGTGGCAGAGCTTTATCTAACTCAAGGTCATGCCCTTCTCCTGGGCAGCCCACAGCCCAGACAGAGCAAAGTGGGGACACAAAGACTGGTCCAGGGGAAATTTTGCTCAGTGTGGGGCATTGCTGACAGGCACCCCCGGCATCAGAGCTCCCACATTTGTCTGCCTCCGAGCCCCCATTAGACATTGCTCCCAGAGAACCCAACCTGCGTGGCTGTCACCGTAAGCTGTATGTCCTGGGTCTCTTGCATTTTATTCTTTTATTCAATAGAGCTTCTTTAAGCAAAGACTAGGAGTAGTGTAGGGGCCCACAGTGTACCACGAGGGCATAGAGATTATTTTGAATGGAAGCTACTCAGGAAACAGCAAGTGCAAGGACATCACACCCTCGCCTCCTCTGTCCCCCTGAAAGCAGGAAACCAATCTCCCCTATGAAAGGTGCCCTCCCTGTACTAAGAAGTAAAAGATATCCTTATCACCAGACATAGGAAATTTACAGCCAAAAAAGCTGTAGAAACAAACCTTGTGACCTCTTTACTAATCTACTAACCTCAGCCCAACTTTTACTTAAAATTCCTTACTAAATCAGGCTGCCAGACATTGGTTTTCTTTATCCTCTCAAATCCCCACAAAGTTTTTTGTCTCTTTGTCTAAAATGTATAAAAACTGCCCACCTTGATCATTCATTCAGGTCTCAATTTCATTAGGAGATCTCCCTATGCACATAATAAAGCTGTTTTTCTCCTGTTAATCTGTCTCATGTCAATTTAATTCTTAGTACTGCTAGAAGAAACTTGGACAGGAATTTCTTCCCTCCATTCAGTAGCAAATAAATCTGTATGTATTTGAATTAAAAACTGTGTGCTCCTAAATCTTTGTGAACCGCGTGCTCAAGTTAATACTACTTTTATAGTGGTTTTCTTTCTATATATATTTAAAAAGTTGGAGTCCATAGATTTTCACATCTAGCTGATTTGTAGTAACAAAACTCTTATCTCAGAGATTAGGACTGCTATTACTTTTGATTACTCATACACATTATTTACACACCCTACAAAGTCCTATATTGTGCTCCCCACCTCCTGCTTTTACATCAGAGCCTTATGGTGCTGCTGGCTGTTCCCAGCAAAGGCCACGCATGTTTCCTGTCTTAAGGCTTTTACATTTTCAGTTCCCTCTACTTGGGATTCTCCTCCTTTAATATCTACCTGGCTCAGTTTTTTGGTTTATGTGGGTCTCTGATCAGGTAAAATCTCTAAAACTATCTACACTCAATCTTTATCTAAAAGAGTCTCTATATTATGCTCTATAGCTTCTCTACTTTCTTTATAGGTTTATCACCTAACCTATTGTACCTTTGTGTTTGTCTCTCTCACCTTAGTTTTCCACGCAGGCAGATTTTCTAGGTTGCAACCATTGCTTTAAGAATGAATTAAGCAAATACATGTGCTCCAAAGAAACGGGATCAAGAATTTACTGGTAATGGGATTCAGTAAGTTCTGCTTATCTTTAATCAATATATCAGACAGTAACTCCCTTCAGAATGAAATCCTAAATAAAATAGCAGTGACCACTAAGAATTCCAACATCCAGTGAAAATTATTTAACCATAACTTTTCTAGTATACTCAAATCGTTGTTCTTGGGAGTAGTCACTGCATTCTGTACTTTTGGCCGCTTAAAACTAGTGGATAGCATTGTAATTAAAATGGGTTCAGGGATTTGCCGGTCTGCTTCCATTTGGAACTTCTGAATAAGCCCTCCAGAACCTTTTAACTTAGCCCCTGCCAGTCTTCAAACTGTCCCTTTCTTTAGGTCAGACTACGTTTTTCTGTCTCCCAAGACAGAAGCACTTAACAATAAATAGTATCACCAAAAAGCGAAAATGCAGACCAGCGCACCAGCTTTCTCTTTGTGAAGTTATAGGTGGCTCTGAAAAGAGCCTTTGATTTGGAACGTCTCTAGTCGCTCATTTGGCCTTGTGGTGGCTCTCGGTCTTCTTGGGCAGCAGCACGGCCTGGATGTTGGGCAGGACGCCGCCCTGCGCGATGGTCACGCGGCCCAGCAGCTTGTTGAGCTCCTCGTCGTTGCGGATGGCCAGCTGCAGGTGGCGCGGGATGATGCGCGTCTTCTTGTTGTCGCGGGCCGCGTTGCCCGCCAGCTCCAGGATCTCGGCCGTCAGGTACTCCAGCACGGCCGCCAGGTACACCGGCGCGCCCGCCCCGACCCGCTCCGCGTAGTTGCCCTTGCGGAGCAGGCGGTGGACGCGGCCCACCGGGAACTGGAGCCCGGCGCGCGACGAGCGCGTCTTGGCCTTGGCGCGAGCCTTGCCGCCCTGCTTCCCGCGTCCCGACATCAGAAACTTAAACACGCTGCAAATAGTTACAAAAGCAAAAGCCGAATCCAGCACCTTTTTATAGCCCCTGTTGGGCGCGAAAAAGAAGGTTTTGCATTGGTTACGGTTGCGGCTTTATCTTAACCAATGGAAATGCAACTTTCGGATTCTCGCGTTTTGATTGGGCAGAACTGATTTCTGACGTTAGTTTGAATAGTCACCAATCAGACACAGGACTTTAACTTACACCTAATTTGCATGAGAGGTTCTATATGAAAGGGACCAGCGGCACTTTGCTCACGCTTCACTTTCTTTTCTCTTGAGGAAGGTCTGTTTTCTCTCCATCATGCCCGAGCCCGCCAAGTCCGCGCCGGCCCCGAAGAAGGGCTCCAAGAAGGCGGTGACCAAGGCGCAGAAGAAGGACGGCAAGAAGCGCAAGCGCAGCCGCAAGGAGAGCTACTCGGTGTACGTGTACAAGGTGCTGAAGCAGGTGCACCCCGACACGGGCATCTCGTCCAAGGCCATGGGCATCATGAACTCGTTCGTCAACGACATCTTCGAGCGCATCGCGGGCGAGGCGTCGCGCCTGGCGCATTACAACAAGCGCTCGACCATCACGTCCAGGGAGATCCAGACGGCCGTGCGCCTGCTGCTGCCCGGGGAGCTGGCCAAGCACGCCGTGTCCGAGGGCACCAAGGCCGTCACCAAGTACACCAGCGCCAAGTAAACGTGCCCAGTAAGCGTCTTGTTGCCCAAGCCCCAAAGGCTCTTTTCAGAGCCACTACGTTGTCCCTAATCGAGCTGGAATTTCACGATCGGGATCTAGGCCTCAGTTCAGGCAGTTGCTTTGCGGCGGTTGTGAGGATTCCACTGCCCTGAGTAATGCGCACTGTGCTGGTAAGTCCCTCTGGCTAGGAGGCCAGGCTTGCGCGGTGTATGCTGTGTGCATGTAGTACCACGGCCGTAACGACGTGAATATAACTCGGCTCAAAAAGATTTCTGGCTCTGGCGCTAAAGTGGATCCCTTGGTCGCGAGCGAGAGCAGCTGTGGCTTCCTGCTTAAATCCTAGCAGCCCACTACTTGTCGCCTCTCTCCGTTGCAATTCTAATATTTGTTCACATGACTAAAATTGGATCCCAGTGACCACCTAAAGTCAGCCTTTTAGCTCAGCAGTTAGGTCCTACAGGATTTGATGTGATTAGCATTAAGTTGGCAGAGTAATGCTTTTATCCAGCTTTAAAAAGTTGACCTCTGTAGGCCACATGGGGTCGGGAGCATGCCAGACCATCCGGAAGAAGGGCTCATAAGCTATGTGGCTAGCTTAACTAGTTTGTCATGCATAGCGCTAGAGATAACGTGATAGGTGGTACACAAGTGCCTGCAACAATTTGAGCAAACTAATGTTTGTGCATCTGTTTGCCTATTTGTACAAGAACATTGATCGGAATTTTGTGATTTCAAGCTGCTAACTTTGTGCTGTCCAGAAAGCTAGTATGAGATCTGTTAATAGAGTGCGAGAATACAAGTTAACTTCAGGCCCTCAGACCTATTGTAGAAAGGATTGGAATAATAGGATCTGGTTGGGATAGTCAGAAGCACATCTGGTGCCTGTCCTGACATTTCCCTCAGGTCTCCCGTATAGGACTAGGGTGGCAACCCATTCTTTGTGATGACTTCTTTATCCAGAGAGAGTAGTTAAATTATTACAGGTTTAGATTATAGAATATAACATTTGTAACTTGGTTATTTGACTTGGCTGTCAGTGACTTTGCCATTTTAAGACCAAAATAATCTCTCGTTAGTGCATGAGAATCCACAGAAAGGATTTAGCACAAATTTGAATCAACTATTCGGCATGATTTCTTTAACTGCCATTGTCTTTTATAATGCCATGCAAATTTTAGACATTCGCTTGTTAATTATTAAAATAGGAAGATCAGCCTGTAAATATAGTAATTTCAGAAAAGCATTAATCTGCAAACCAACTAAGGAGATAAGCAGCCTAACATTTGTGTGCTTAGGCCTGACAGGCAACATTCGTAAAAACTAAATACAAATCCAACATTAAGACAGGACTCCAAAATAGCCATAAAGCTTGTAAGAAAATTAGCAACTTTATATTATAATCAGAAATGCAATTCAATGGGATGCCTGGGTGGCTCAGTGGTTGCGTCGGCCTTTAGCTCAGGGCATTACCCCCAAGCCTCGGGATCCAGTCCCACATCCGGCTCCTTGCATGTAGCCTACTTCTGTCTGGGTCTTTGCCTCTTTCTCATAACAAAATCTTTAAAAAATAATGCAGTTAAAATGGATTGTTTAGCAAATGACTGGCAATAAAATTTGCTCTGCCGCTAGTGAAATGTTGAAGATAGGGACCAGAGTACTTGTGCAATACGGGTGTGAGAGATACAATCCTAGGTTTTCTAGGGTTTTTATTGGATGGATCCTGTCCCTTTGCTTATTCTGCAAACATATTTAAATAGCAGTTAAGAGTGGCGCCTGGTCATTCTAGTTTGACCAGAAAGGAGCCAGAGCCAAAGCCAACAGGATTGCACACAATCCCACTCCGCGGCGAAAAGCGGCTGGTCCGCACTAACCCTGTGAGATGCGTCAGGAACTGAGCGCCTCCACCGAGACCCGTTTGTAGACGAACACTAAAGCTCCTTCAGTGAAAACTTGGGGGCCCTAAAAAGGGCCTTTTTGGTACAGGATGGGAGTCCACTTTGGTTTTCAACCCCCGAAGCCGTAGAGGGTGCGGCCCTGGCGCTTGAGCGCGTAGACCACGTCCATGGCCGTGACCGTCTTGCGCTTGGCGTGCTCTGTGTAGGTGACGGCGTCCCGGATCACGTTCTCCAGGAACACCTTGAGCACCCCGCGGGTCTCCTCGTAGATGAGGCCCGAGATGCGCTTGACGCCGCCGCGCCGGGCCAGCCGCCGGATGGCGGGCTTGGTGATGCCCTGGATGTTGTCGCGCAGCACCTTGCGGTGGCGCTTGGCGCCGCCCTTGCCCAGCCCCTTCCCGCCCTTACCACGACCTGACATCTCTCCGAAAACCCGAGCGAGAGTGCAGCCAGGGCGGCGCAGCTCCCTCTTATAGGGTTCCCTCTGCGGACCGGAGTGAAAACCGAGAGCGCGGTGGCTTGAAGTCTCCCTTGGTGGGAGGAGGGGCCTAGAAGAAACAGGCCTGTTCCGCGCGTTCCTTTTGTTCTCCGAGTGCTGTGGATCCTCAAGACCTAAGGCTATTTTTTCTCCTTTTTTCGTTTATGTGTTTCCCGTCTCATCCTCATGAAACAAAACTTTATTTAGCTTTGTAGAGAATACATTTTAAAAAGCACAGAAAAAAAAAAGCACTGAATATTCTATTATCTCTAGATACATGCATGCATTTTCTTTTTCTACCAATATTGACATAAGACTACCCCATTTTGTAAAGGTTTTCTCCTTGTTATACCCGGGGGGGGGTACGCTCCAAATCTTTACTATCTAGAAGCAGAACAAGACGAGCTAATAAAATAGATTATTTTAAGACCTGGGTATATGGCTACATATTATCTTCCACCAAAGGGTTCCCAATTTTCTTTTTTTTTTTTTTTTAAGGTTTTATTTATTCATGAGAAAGAGAGAGAGAGGCAGAGACACAGGCAGAGGGAGAAGCAGGCTCCATGCACCGGGAGCCCGACGTGGGATTCGATCCCGGGTCTCTGGGATCGCGCCCTAGGCCAAAGGCAGGCGCCAAACCGCTGCGCCACCCAGGGATCCCAGATTTCAGATTTTTTTAAATACAGATCTAATACTGTACTAACAAATATTAAGAAAATATTAGCATTAAGTATTGAAAGGAAGCAGAATAGGCTACCCAGGAAACATTCATTCCACTCTGGCATAAGTTTTATTTTGAGCTGAAAGTGTCTGAGGTGAAGCAGATGTAAGAAAAGCTCCATTACCTCCCTGCTTACTTCCCTAAAAGCAGGAAGTAGATTTACAAAGCTGCCCCTCCTTTCCTCTCTACTAGGAAAGACAAAGGTTAATCCCAGTGTTGGAGCAGGCAGTTAGTGAGGCTCTAACAGGATGCTGGAGGCCAGCAAGGAGAAGGCAGTGGCCAGCCCTGGGGAGGGTCCAGGCCTGTCCTGGCAGCACTCCAGGAGGAGCCGGATGGGCCCCAGGTGGAGAGCCACCACAGGATACCCCTGGTCATATAATGAAGAAAAGCAGGAAACCCTGCTTCCAGCCCCAGGTAATAAATATCCTGCCCCTTTTTAACAACCATCAATAAAAGATAGAAACTCGAACCCTAGTTCACACAGCTTGCTTTCTTGAGCTCACCATGCTCTCACTTCTTGATAGTATACTTCTGTTTTAATAAACTTTCCTGCTTGCACCCCTCATACACTGTGGGGTGTCTGCCCTCGGATTCTTTCTTGAGAGGAGACCTGGAGTCTTCTACAACATCTTTGATAGGGGTTGGGTCCAGACTTCAGGGCCCAGGGCCTCCCAGTTCACCCACCAACACCAGTTGAAAGCCTTAAACCCATAGCAATGGAGAAGGCACCACCTTAAATCTTCCTAACATACTTGATTCTTGTTTTCCTGGTAACTTTCCCGTAACTGACTTCCACTCACCTTTTGTCTTTGCCTTAAAGGGGCCAAGGTCAGGATGCCGCAGGACCTGCCGCTTTGATGAGATCATTCCTGGAGAAGGCAATTAAGACCCTGAGGGCTCAGAGAAACTGTCTCTCCCTTAACTACGTAGAAGAATCTTAAAAAACAAAAAACAAAAAAAATCTAAATTAGTCTTTGACAGAAAACTGTTATTAACAGAGATCAATTTTATCTGAGTGACTCACCTGTACGGCAGGGCAAACATCTAATTACCAAACATCTGCTCTTCTTATCTTCTTATCTGCCTGTGAAGTGCATTCCTTCCCTTGGAAATCCTAGACCCCTTCTCCTTAGTTCAGAATGAGATATATGCCTTGTTTTGCCTTCACTGTCTGGAATTTCCAGGTCTGTGTGGATTCCCTGTACAAATGCTATTAAGTTAGATTTTTCTCTTGTTAAAAAATCTTCCTTTTCTGCCACCTTTCCACCTTTAAAAGCCTTCCTTTTCTGGAACTCAGCAGAACTCCTTTATATTGCTGAATGGGACGCTGCCTGATCCCTGAATCATCGAATAAAGCCAACTTGACCTTTACATGTATTCAGTTCAATTTTTGTTGTTTAACAATGCGAATAAACTTCTGTGTGCCTTTCTCTTGCGAAAACTGTCTTTTATTTATAGGGATCTCAGCCAAACACTCAGAAGAGTAGAGGAAAAATTATTTTTCTTTCCCTTTAATTGGAAGACATATTTAAAGACAGAACAATTGAATAATGAGTAAAATTATTTGGGTTACACAGCTTCTAAAAAGCCCATCAAAAAGTCAAATATTTTACTATGAGGGTGCGTTTGAGTGCCTATCATTGTTAGATATTGTTGTCACCATTTATTTTATTCCAAGAAGTCATAGTTATACTAGGATTAGACGTTATATTTTACCTTAAAAAAGTTATATTTTAAGTACAAGAATATGAATATTAATACGACTTATTACTAGACTTTAAGTGTTAAAGAAATCCCAGGTAGAAAGAGACACTTTCAGGGAAAAAATTATAATTAGGTTGCAAATCAATGGGCACAAACTATAGAGCAAGGGTTTTTAACCTGGAGCTCATATACACAATACCTCTGAGGATGAAAATCGGCAATGCATGGTTGGGGGGGGGGGTGAGGAGGAGGAGGAACACCATGAGCTGAGATAGGGAAAAATATAATTTATCTCTGACTGAATTTCAGTATTTCCCTTTGCAATGAATTTAAGCCACAAACCTCAGTACCTGTGACTTTGTCACCCAATGGAATTCACAGATATCTCATTTCTCATAACTGCCAAATTATCTTGAACCATTATTTATTCATCTAATAATTGATGGCAATTATTAGGCTCATCAAGATTGCATGTGTTAATAATTAAGCACATATGTCACTCCTATCAAATTTATTTTTAAAAACACAGATGAGTAATGGGATACATTTTTTTTTGCAATTTTTGCATTTTATACACTTCAAATATTATTCTGCGGGTTTCCATAAACGTCAACAGTAAGGCAAAGATGTCCATGACATTCAAGAAAAAACTAAGATCACTTTTTTTTTCTTTTTGAGATGACAGTTAAAGGAGTTCATTGAATAGTCAGAGGCAAGAGTCTGTGCTCTGGGCAACAAAAACCTTTAGCAGGGTTTTTCCTTGTTTAATTACAACAACGACAAAAGATGTAATGCACATCAACTGACCTTCCTCCATTAGCTAATCCTGCCACCTTGGCCCAGGGCCCAAGGTTTGTCAGGAGCCCACAGCACACTACCCTTCATTCTTAAGCAGTCCTTGGTCAAACCATACGAGAATCCTCCATTTTTTAGTATTTTCTTTACTCCGCACGCACATACCTTTAAATCTGTCAGGCAGACCACCCTGTGTGACTAGCAACACCTTACATTTCAATGGCAATAGTTATGGTAAACATTCCTTAAGTGTTTTGACTTCCTTAAGGAGGGATAGAAATTACATTGAGGCCACAACCCTGACGTTTTTAGGCTCATCCTAAATGTGAGGGCAGGGCCTCCAAGCATCGGTACTGTTGGGAAAAATGGGTGTGACTCTTGACAGCCTTCGGGAGGGGGAAGACAATCCTGTAAGGAAGCTCTCCAGTGACCTGTAGGGGACCTGGATGTCCTTGGGCATGATGGTGACGCGCTTGGCGTGGATGGCGCAGAGGTTGGTGTCCTCGAAGAGCCCCACCAGGTAGGCCTCGCACGCCTCCTGCAGCGCCATGACGGCCGAGCTCTGGAAGCGCAGGTCGGTCTTGAAGTCCTGCGCGATCTCGCGCACCAGGCGCTGGAACGGCAGCTTGCGGATCAGCAGCTCCGTGGACTTCTGGTAGCGCCGGATCTCGCGCAGGGCCACCGTGCCGGGCCGGTAGCGGTGCGGCTTCTTGACGCCGCCGGTGGCCGGCGCAACTTTTCTGCACCAAAAAATTTCACTAATGGACAAAATCTAATAACTTCCTGTAGACGCACAGGGGCTAGGTGAACAATTGAGCAACATACGTTTGAAGCCCGTTTCCAATTACCGCGGGTTACTTGCTTTAAATCTATGGCGGTCTTCCAACCTAGAATAGTAAAAGTATCAACCATGTCAAGCTCTTTCCAGAAAACATAGGTGGCCCTGAAAAGAGCCTTTTGTTTGGATTCGACTTGCTCCAACTACTGTGAAAGGTTTTATGTAGGCCACTACTTGCTCTTGGCCTTGTGGTGGCTCTCGGTCTTCTTGGGCAGCAGCACGGCCTGGATGTTGGGCAGGACGCCGCCCTGCGCGATGGTCACGCGGCCCAGCAGCTTGTTGAGCTCCTCGTCGTTGCGGATGGCCAGCTGCAGGTGGCGCGGGATGATGCGCGTCTTCTTGTTGTCGCGGGCCGCGTTGCCCGCCAGCTCCAGGATCTCGGCCGTCAGGTACTCCAGCACGGCCGCCAGGTACACCGGCGCGCCCGCCCCGACCCGCTCCGAGTAGTTGCCCTTGCGGAGCAGGCGGTGGACGCGGCCCACCGGGAACTGGAGCCCGGCGCGCGACGAGCGCGTCTTGGCCTTGGCGCGAGCCTTGCCGCCCTGCTTCCCGCGTCCCGACATCGTAGTATTAAGGTTCTTCTGCAATATAACGCGAAGGTTCAGAGGTAGGAATAAAGGGGAGCGGGGGGTGGATGGGGGTGGGGTAGCACTTTTTATAACCCTTATTGGGCTTGAAAAAGGAAATCTTTCATTGGCTAAGATTGCAGCCTCATTTTAACCAATAGCAACGCAACGTTGTGGGGACATTGCAGTATGGTTGGTCAGAACTAACGTCTGACGGTGCCCTGAATGGCGACCAATCAGATCCAGGACTGTCATTGACACCTTATTTGCATAAGAGGTTCTATATAAAAAGGACCCATGACATTTTTTTTTTCACTTGCTAGTTTTTTTTAGGAGGCGTTTGAGCTTTTGCGAATTATGCCCGAGCCCGCCAAGTCCGCGCCGGCCCCGAAGAAGGGCTCCAAGAAGGCGGTGACCAAGGCGCAGAAGAAGGACGGCAAGAAGCGCAAGCGCAGCCGCAAGGAGAGCTACTCCATTTACGTGTATAAGGTGCTGAAGCAGGTGCACCCCGACACGGGCATCTCGTCCAAGGCCATGGGTATCATGAACTCGTTCGTCAACGACATCTTCGAGCGCATCGCGGGCGAGGCGTCGCGCCTGGCGCATTACAACAAGCGCTCGACCATCACGTCCAGGGAGATCCAGACGGCCGTGCGCCTGCTGCTGCCCGGGGAGCTGGCCAAGCACGCCGTGTCCGAGGGCACCAAGGCCGTCACCAAGTACACCAGTGCCAAGTAAACAATAAGTTGGCTGCAGATTCAAACACAACGGCTCTTTTAAGAGCCACCCATATTCTCAAGGAGAGCTGTTCCTTTTTATTTCGTGCTGCGCTCTTGTAACTCGTTGCAGTAATTAGTCTGCCAAGTATGACAATTATTGAACAATGTCAGACTTCTGTCGCCTTAACTAAATGACCAAAGTAACACTACCAAATCCTGGCAAAGCTTTGGAACTCTTGTGCAAACTAGCAAAGCTACGAGCTTGTCACTGTCCTTTGGGAACTCTTGAAAAATGCTCTACCACTAGTTCTGATAACTTAGGCTTAAGTCGCCATGGAAGAGAAAGCTAAACTCGAAAGAAATTCCGAGAACTCCGCAGTTCAGTTATCTGGAGAAGAAAGCTGGACGTGGCGCCCGCCTGCAGGGATTGCGCGGGCAGTTTGAATTTGCCGCCATCCCTCCCCGCGCTCTGATCACTGACAGCTGAGGGAGAGGGGAGGCGGGCAGCCGCCTCCCGCCCGGGAGCCAAGCGCACGCGAGCACCCGGGAGTGCATATTCTCGCGTGGTCTATCCTGCTTTTCGTTTTCCTGATCTAGCTTTTTGCCCTTGTCTGGAGTGACGTTTGTTATTTCCCCTTGGAACTTTCGTTGGAGAGAAAGGAATCTGGAGGATGTGATTTTCATCCTGAGAAGCAGCAATGCCTTATTTCTAATTAGGGCGCTACTTTCCCTTTGCCATACATCCGTATAAATGGAAAATGCTACAGGACGAGACAGGACTATGGGGGGGGGGGTCCAATGAAGGCAAAGAAGCTTGATGGCATCTATCCTAGACTTTCTCAAAACAAAAATCGGTATATTTTAAAGTTCTTTCGTTGGTATTTTAAGTCCTGTTTGCCAGAAACCAGTGAGGGAGAACAAACTCCGTGTGAGTCTGGTTGTCATAAATAAAAGCCAGTCTCCCAACAATAATATGTCTCTCTATATTCAATATTCTGTATCTCTGAGCTAAAAAGTCATGATCCAAAGCATTTGGAAGTTTCCACTATGGCTGGTTTTGGGTTTAGACAATTATTTTAAGTGGATTTAATTTAAATACATTACCTAATTTATCTAAAACGAATCTAAATTTAGTACATTGGTGACACCTAAGACCATATTTTGTTAAATCCGGTATCAAATATATACTTCTTTGTTGACTCAAATCCTACTCATGTTTCAATTCCCACTTCAATCTTGCATATAGTTAGTTCCATATATATATATCAGTATGAACTGCTACTGTTTTGTTGTATGTTTCCACATAGAAAATGTACAGTCAGAAAAAAAAAGTTCTTTCCTTCATCTCCATCCCACACTAATGATAACTGAGTATCTGTAAATAAGAATGTAAATAATTTTTGTCACTTCCTCTGTCATATGTCACATGAGCCCCCATCCTCCATTAATCCAAATAATCAGATGATAATTTGCAAGCTAAATACTTTTTTGTTGTTATTTGTCTTTTAGGCTATAGAAATCAGAATAAAAATTGAGAATTTGTGGGAAAAGGACAGAGATTGAGACAGAGGATGAGTCATATGCAATAGTCCATTATTAGAAAATCCTTAAAGACTAAATTTTTGAAAGCTACAAAGTTGAAAAGATCCCAGCCAATTCTCCTTTACTCAGAAAATTAAACTACCTAAACCATAAACAAATCAGGTAAATAAATCAAATTTTCATCATTGGGGTTATTTGCACCTTGATAGAGCTGTTATCACTTTAACCCATTGCTAATCAGCTTCAGAAGAACTGGTTCAAAGCTAAACTAACATAGTATGTCGTTTACAAAAGTGTACATTGTGAAATAGCATATCACAAAATAAATAGGTATTTGTTGATGAAAGTACTCATGACTATTTGACAGGGCTTCCTTGGAAATCACAAGCCAGAATGATGCTTTGAACACTGTGTTGGTAGAACTAGTTGTTTTTTTAAGAAATCCTTTTTCCAGCCATGTCAAATGATTATATTTTCTTTTTCTACTGCGTGCATTATTTTTTATATTTGTTAAAATTATCATTATTTTCAAAAATATTTTATTATTCATTCATTAGAGAGACAGAGACATAGACAGAGGGAGAAGCAGGGTTCCTGCGAGGAGCCTGATATGGGACTTGATCCAAGGATCCCAGGATCAGGACCTGAGCCAAAGGCAGAGGTTCAACCACTGAGCCACCCAGGTGCCCCATTATTTCTTTTAAACTAATCTCCAATAGTTGTTGAAATCAAGGCACCCATTCCCCAGTGAATTAATAGAGACCCACTGACAAAGCCTATGGAAAGATCAATGGCCATATCTAGAGACCACGCAGATATACATCATTATACCTTTGGTATGTTAAACTTAATCGCGTTGTAATATAGTTTTGGCTAATATTACTTTCAATTTTTGATAATAAATGGTAAATATCCAATTAGTAGTAACTATATTTACAAACTATCCATGGACCTGAATGATTTATTCTTAGCTTTAATTTTGAACTGTCACTTTCCTTGAAACTTCCCCCAAACGTTGGATATGCCATTCCATTTTGAGTCTGCATAGCATGAAGGCATATTTTCATTCTGCACTTAACTGTAGACTGAAGTTTTTCAATTTTAATTTAAAAAAAGGATTCCTGAAGAACTTGTTTTGCATGTTATTAATATTTTTTCTAGTCTTTGTAAATGGATCTGTTCTCATTTACTATGGAAACTATACTATATACTTGATGTTGGGAAACCAAATGCACGTGTTGTGTTCCTACTGCTTGCACACCATCAGATCTGCAAACTGTGAAGCATACAACAGCATTTGATTGTCATGTGGAAGTCATATATACAAGGCCCACCACATAGGCCCTGTACTGAAGAAAAAAAATTGTTAGAGCAGGCAGCTCACACTCCATTTATTCCTACTTGTGAAATATAGTTATACGTATTATTATTAAAAACATGAGGAGTTTCCTATAAATTGTTGATTGAGAAAGACTATCTTGTTTTGAAACTAGGCCATGCCACTTAAAATTTGCATTTACACATTAGTTTCTCTAGATTTTTTTCTTCGTTTAAAAGGGGGATATAGTGGTGGTTCTCATGAATTAATATTCTTAACATGCCTGGAACAATGCCTTGCATATAGTAAGTATTCAACATATGTGAGCTAATACCACTGCTGACACCAATCCTAACAGCAGTATTAGAAACAGTAATAACAATGTACTACTCAGGAGTATCCATGAAAGACAAGAGGGAAGAGAGAATTGCTGCCACTGCGAAGAATCGAAGAATCGGGAGCATTGCATCTCATTGTTTACTTTTGCTGGAAAGAGAAATGATCTAAGATATTGATCTAAACTGATTCATGTGTGTGGGTAATGACTTGTCTGGCTAGGCAGAGATTGAAGGGGACAAAATGGAGGTTTGTTGACTAGTTTGGGGGAAGAGTGAACCACTCAGAATGGTTCCAAGGTATAAGAATATGAGAATAATGTTGGTCCGTGTTAATACCAACTAAAAGGTTCACACTTCCAAGGAGGCTATCAGTCATCAGGCATGCAACACCAACCATGTGTATGTGATTAAATGTCTTTTCTCAACACCCTTCTTACTGACCAAGCAATTTATAAGTAGGGTGGCCAAGGTGGTGCTGGTAGAGTTTTCACACAAGCTATTCAATATAGACTTAGCTCACCAGAGCTGACCTGGATACTGATGCTGCTAAGTATTCTTGGATCCATTTTGTCATGGATGAGGCAGATATGGGACTTCACGGAGATAGATACTTATTCTAGATTTGGTATACTTCATTCTCATGCCACTGCTAGCAAGCTTATTTATGAACTCAGTGAATTCTTTATACCTACGACGTGGTTTTTACCCATTTTAGTACCTTACATAGAAAGATAAGGTGATGCAAAGATGACCATGGGACTCACTAGTCTTCATATGTACCACAGCCTTCATGAGTGGCAACCTTATCAGTTAGTTACTGGAAGACTCAGTTAAAGCGGCATGTAGGAGTCTGGCAAGTTATTGGAGTCCCGTTCAGCTGGATAATGTGTATATACTGAATGGTGACAAAGACCTGTAACCCCTGCCATTGCCAAAAAACATTGATTAAAGAACAGAGAGGCAGAAATTGAATGGTCCCTCTGCTATGAGGGCTTAATCACCAGCTCCAAAAAAGCTCACTTTCCATCCTTGCAACTCAGGGCTCATTCTGTTGAGTTCATTGGATTTTGGGGTTTTTGTTTTTAAAAGTTTTGTTTTAAAAGTATTCAAGGGAAGAATGCCTCTGCTGGTGGACACTGAGATGACTCTATTAAATTTTATTGATTTTCCAAAAATGGTTCATTTTTTTTATATAAAGTTAAAACAATTTTAATTAGATTCACTAGCTGGCTTAAGAGATATGTGGAAAGTCTTGACCTGAGGGATTTAGGCCTTTGCATTCCTCTGTTTCTCAATGTTCTCTAAGTTTTTGTTTTCCTACTTCCTTCCTGCACATTCTCTTTTTAGGAGGATGGGCAGGCAACAGGAACAGAGACAGTTTGAATGTTCTTTAAAAGGCTGTCATAAAAAATACACAATGAAAGTCCGTTGACTTAATCTCAGAAATTTGCAAATACAAGTTAAACTGTGCTAATGTAAGTTACTATAAAATTGATAAATACACAAAGTTTCAACAATTCTTAAGAATTGATCACTTGGTGAAATGATTTTTAGATAACTGAGTTGAGAAAAATTGTCCTGTTTACCTTTGTCTCCTCCTGTGATATTTCACGTGTTTCCTATTTAATCTAATCACTACTTTTCCTTTCTCCCAGTATTTTATTTAGGGTGTCTTGGTGCCACATAACTTTACAAGTCACACAGTATATAGATGGCCTCACAATAGAACCAGAAAAGCAGTGGATTCTGGGTTATGAGCTATTTTCCATAACTAAAAAGATTTTGCATGCCCTTAAAATATAACTGAGACATGGAAAACAGGCAAATCATCATCGTCATGGAGAAGCTATATGTGGAAAAGAGTGTATTTTGATTTTAGGCCATTGTTTATTTCTCAATTTACAAAAATTAATTGAATTTTTGTATAACAACAAATTTTTTCAAAAATTATTAAACCTATATATAGAACGACATAATAGCTGCATTATACGATTAAGAAGAGGTCCAATGCTATCAGACTCTTATTTAAAGACATTGAATGAAAAGATAGAATATGTTCATGGACAAGAAATATGAAATAGCATGAAGGTGTCAGTTCTCCTAAAATTGGCATAATTGTTCAAGGTATTTCCAGTCAAAATCCTAATGTTAGTTTTGGAATTTGGAAGTTAATTCTAACATTTATTTGAAGAGCTAAGTGATTTAAAAAAATCCAAGGAAATCCCAATAAAAGGTAGAATATGATTTAGTGATAAAAGACTTATAAAATACTATGTGGTACTGCACAGAGATGGACACATTTACCAACTGAATGAGATAGAAAGCCAAGGATCGCATCTAACTTTTTGTTGAAACTTCAGAAAAGAAAGAGGTGAGATTTCAGATTAGTGAGGAAGAGATAGACTAGACTGCACAAAAAAATTGATCAGGGCAACCGGTTATGGGGCAGTTGTGGGAGGAGGATCCCTAAATGTAAATAGAAAACCACTAAGGCCTTCGGAAAGATAAAATAGGAAAATATGACTCTAGAGAAAGACTTTTAAAACAAGAAACCGAAGTACTAGCCATGAAAAAGTGTGCTAAGTTATACCTCATTAGAGGAGGCATTTTTTCTTAAACTGTTTCACAACATCAAGACTTCTAGAGATTCTTTGTTCTTTAATTTGGGAAGGAGAAAATATTAGTGAATGTGTCAACTGAAAATGAAGAAGAGATGGAAAAGTGTTTCCACTGAAATCTGACCTTGATCTGAACTGAGGTCAGATTTTTTGGTTCAAACCTTCTTTTCTTCTCTCTTTCCTTTTGATTTCTAGTTCAAAACAATAAAAGTGTTAAGATATCTTTCCTATCTTGTCTATAGATATCAAAAACAAGTTTGTTTGCTTCTTGTGTAAAAAGCTAAGCTTTTCAAAAGAAAAGTGTTTCAGTTATAAAGTTAAAGATGCTAACTTTCATTGTGAATGGGATATGAGCAGAAAATATCAGTATGATATTACTTCTGTTTTTTAAAAAACAGCTTCTCCTCAGCACTTTTCACAGAAAGGGTCTACAAGGAATGACAATCCGTGAACAATGAGAATTGCCATCACCCAGATTATAGTTTCTCCATCCTTTTCCAAATAGCAAACTTGACTATTTGGAGATGTGGTTAAGCGCTATGAATTAAAACAGATTTGGAAGACATAGCAATACCAATGGAATCCTAATTCAGATAAAATCATCGTAAAAAAGTATTTGAGGCAGTTGAGGATTTTTGGGTTTCTTTTTTTGGATGATGTTACAAATGATCCCTTCCAA